TGAAAAGTATATTGTACAAACATGATGGTATATTGTACAAACATGATAGTATATTGTTAGAACAATAAACTTTTCACGTTATAACGTGATACACTTGTATTTTTCTTTTGCCTGGGTGGCAGCTCTACGCTTCCGTAGTTTCATTTTATCTTACTGCCTCTAACAGATTCGTTTAGCTCCATTTCCGCAGGAAATGACATGATACATCTATCTGTCAGAAAATCACCTTTTTTTTTTAACTTGTCCAATCTTGTTTTTGCTACCATTTATTACTCTTTTTGTCAAAGACCATTGAAACTAATTTTTATCCAAATAGAAAAACACTGGTATTAACTTTGCACTGCACATACCTTTGAGTGAAGGATTGGATGAGCCACTCTAAATCAGAGGTTTTGAATGGGAACAGAACAAGGTAAGTGGTGTTGTCCAAACTGGTAGAACTGTGTGGATACATCACATGATGTGTTGTTTTGGTTCCTACATCTCTTTCAAAACCTTTGGTAAGGCCACGGTTCATTCTAGAACAGGATTTACCACACATGTTATTTATTAGGATTTATTGTACATACATACACATACGTATATAGAGATTACTGTATGATATACTGCCTGTGGAGTTATGTTAACATTACCTTATGACAATATCGTGAAAATCTATCAGAGGTCCATAAAATGATCCCATTAGATTACCAGAATTTCCAACTACAGCACAAGTTCTGCAGAGGTCAGGGCTGGGTCTTGTAAAACCCACATTGGGTGGGAAGATGTGAAACATCTTATCCACGGTTTTATTGTAGAAAGTATATTTGCGTTTGTCCCGTTGTATTCGCTGACACGAAACAAAAGCAAGACTATGGTTATTAAATTGTTGGCTTCAATGCCTATATGTAACAACTGATTTGTCTGAAAGTATTGAAATTCTAATGTCATATGTAGGATTGTTGATAAGGTCATAAAATTTGCATTATTTTAATCCACATTTAATGTCCTATTACTACAGTGCTTATTGCATTGCAAATATTTGACAAATGTATTCCATGTTCTAAAATAGTGAATATTCCCTAAATGTTTCAGTCTAAAAAAAGTTACATAATTGGATACCTTATTTATCTCTATATATTATCAGTATCTGACACAATCATGAGTGCCTGAAATAACTAATGACGATATAGGAAAAAACTTGCATATTACAGCATATCCTTATTTTTAAAATGTATTTATTACGTTTTCATATTTACCTTCCACCAGTTAAAAATATCCTCTGATATATTGTTTGTGGCTGACAAAAAGGGCTCAGGAGATGCTTCCATAAGCTCACTAAGCCATGGATCGTATTCCATTAAACATTTGTCACAGGCACAAAGACTTGTATTGCGATAGAAGAAGGAATGCTGGTATACAGTTAAAATGTATGAATTTCCATAAAACATTCCGATGATTGTGGCAAAAATTAAGAAAAATAGGATGAAGAGTTTCATCTTCAAGGGAAGCATCTTCGCACTTTGATGTTCTTGGATTTAGTTGTGTCTGTGGATACATTAAAAAGCACAGGATTTAACAATGTGGCAATACATCAACCATATGTTTGCCACAAAAAAGACAAATCATTTTAATGATAGACTACAACTTCGTTAAAATCAGTCCATACTAGTGGTGTGGATATTTATTTTACTTTTTTTTTTTTTTTTCAAGTATCAGTACAGATCAGACTTGTCAATACCAGCCTGAACTTACTTGGTATCAGATCAGAATGAAAATCAGTAGACACTGCACATCACTACTCCACACTACTGTGAATTATAGGATATTACTGTTATTTACTGCCATGCCTAAACTCAGCCACAGTTACACATCATTTATGTGCACTCAGGGCTAGAATGGTAGTCTGGCATACTTGGCATTTTCCCAGTGGGCCAGTACACCTTTGGGCCCATGGGCCAGCCTGCAGCCCCACTGTGCACCAGTCATTGGTTAATTTTCATTACACTGGGTCACCCACTAAAGTCTCCTCTCTGACCTTTTCTGTGCACTCACACAGCTACTGGAAATTTTTTAGTGTGGAAAAAGTGGTGCTGAAAAGCAGAAAGAGAATAAAAACTAAAAAGAGACGCAGCAAACTGTGTCAAATTCTGGTGCTAGCACAAGCTGTGGAGAAGTGAGGAATAGACAAAGGAAGGTGAAATTACCATGGTAAGAAAGCAGATGGAGGGACATAATTACTAGGGGAGAAATTCATCTTTCACAAATTCATATTCATCTTTAGATGTGTTGCTGTTGAGAGTGTTAAACCTCTGTATCTGTATATGAAATATATTCAGTGCTCTGAAAGATGTCTGAAGGCTCGTGTGGTTGTTTTTCCATGTTTGGTCCCCTTCACCTTACATTGCGACTGCTACAGTATGTGTGCCTGGCCCTGTATGCACTGTGTGCATAACATAATTTCATAATAGAAAACATATTGTAATTTCTCTCTGATTCTCTTTCTCATTGCTGTGAGTGAGCTTTTGTTTCCTAAAAATAACACGTTGTACCAGCCAAATGGTGGCAATGCAACAGTCCTGTTATTTTAATATTTTGCAACCCTATGTTCTTTGGTGCTAAAGAGTATTCATTTCAATGGGCCTCAGGCCCACTGATCAAGAATCACTTTTTCATAATATGCGTGATAGAAGTTGACTAATGCAATTGTGCTGTGTTATCTCAATGGTCATTTAAATTAATGAGTGATTAAAAATAAAATCTGCAGAACATTTTTTTTACAAACTAACAATGACTTCTCTCTTACCTGACGAAAGATTAAATCCGATTGTTTAATCTGGAAGAGACTGGTGGGACATATCCTGCATTCAGAATCTGATATTTTTCTTCTTGCTGTAGGCAGATTGTGATTTGGAAATGTAACTTCCTCATATCAGTTATAGAACTTTGACCCCATTGTAGTACCTGTCAGTGACACATAGGTTTGTTGTATCACATAGATAAGCTTCAGGTCAATTTGACCTGAAAGTCAGTGGAGTTTTTTTTTTTTT